TATAATATGTGTTGTTGTTTATAAAAATAAATGTGAGACGTGCTATATATATATATATATATATATATATATATATATATATATATATAAAGTATTCTTTTTAATATATTTTTTTTGTGAGTCCGTCATTCCATTAAGCGAGACGAATTATGTTTTGTAATTCAATTTACGTGTCTCGTGCCTTGTCATACAGTTTTTTTATTTATTAATATCTTTATTGTGATCAGATTAGATTAACTCTACATATCTGTCTTAATTAATCATTGATAATTATATTATTGATAACTGAAAGAGATTAAAACAATAATTTTTAAAATTACATCATAGTGATCGAATAAATTCTCTCATTAAAATTGCAAGATAGTCATCGAATGAATTATCTCATGTAGGAGTGAAATATTGAAATGATTGTTAAACTTTATTTAATAAATTGCAGTCCAAAATGTTAGAAGATAATAAAATATAAATCAATAAATTATATTCAAGTATGAACCAATTATAATATTTGCCTAACACGATTTTGGATATTCTTGGAAAAGTTGTATTATCAGTTTCTTTTACCTTTTTATTCTTTAGATGAGGGTGAAAAAATAATATTCGAATATTAAAAATAAGTTTGATGGGATCATATCAGAGTGTTGATACATGGAACAAGAAGAAACCAACTTAAAAATAATTATACTTATAATTTTTTGTCTAAGAATCCAACACCTTTGATGTTTGGTTGATTTGAAGATTTTGCATCAATAAGTATAATCACATTTTCTGACAAAAAATTAGTACACAATAACTTAATGTACTAAATCTAAGGTCAAATTAGTTTAGCTTTTTATAAAAATAATTTTTTTCAGTCTTTACTAACGGAGCCAAATTAGTTTGGTGTTAAAAAAAAAAATCAAAATTAACAATACCTTTCGTCATACTGATTATATTACATGCATGCATTTTTATTGACATAGGCAAGCAACTCCGATCCTGATCTGCTTCGAACTTTATCATGTCCTCCACCTGTAAGCTAACATAAGCCTTCATTCCACCACCGGTCTTTGTGTCTACAAAGACAACCAGATTTTTAAAAGTTAAAGCGGGTGAACCCACCCATGTTGGTTTTCCCCATCCAAAATCAGCGTCATACAAACCTACACGGACTAGTAATATTAAATGAGACTAGTTCCCCCCTTCACAAGCACAATATGAACTATATCCTTAAGGAAATCCAAATGGTCACACTACAACAAAAAGTATCATTAACGACTATTATTTAGTGACAATAAGACAATTGCCTCTATATTATTTTTAATTAAAGTTTTTAGTGGCCAATAAAAATTAGCTGGTAAAACTTTATTTATAGTGACAATTTTTAAAAATTACCATTAATATGAATTTTTATTTAAACTTTTTTATTTAAAAAATTCCTCACACTCTCTGTGCATAACGCATTTTTCATTTTTTTCCTTTGCCTCACTTCTCACGGTCTCCCTCTCGCATCTCACCCTCACTCTTACGCTGTTTCAAGCTTTAGTCATGGCTTCTCCTATCTCTTCCACATAGCTTCAATGGTTCCGTCTCTTCAATTTCAATTTTAGGGTTTGTTTTTCTGGTTCATACTTCACAGATTCATATTTTCGTAATTTTCGTAAGATAAAATCAAGTATGCCTTGATTAATCAAATCCTAATAAATATCATTGAATTTTCTGTTGCTGGGTTCTGAGGCCAAAGTGAGAAAAAAGTGCCATCGTAGCTTGTGCTTCCGAGGAAGACATTGGTAGCACCAGCTCCTTTCTCTCTAGGACCCAAACTTACGCCCTTCTCAAGCACAGTTGCAAGTCGCTGCTAAATCCGAGGATACAGAAACTTCAATACGGCCGTATTGGTTTCAGTACGACCGTATTGTAGTACAAAATGTGCAGTACGGCCGTACTGAACTCCAAGGAGGCCGTATTGAGCTCCAAACCTCCCACTTTCTTATTTTTGGCTACTCTAAGACCTCTAAACCTACAGATAGTCATCCTATGGTCTTCTGGGAGTCCTTCTGGCTGACTTTCCTTTGATCTTTGAGAGTCTTCGAGTCTTATTTCCGACCCGGACAATTTTAGGGGTCTACAAAGGTTAGTCTCAATGCATCTATTCAAAAACTTTATCCAAACTATCCAAACATGCATCAAAAGAGGATCCATAAATAGTAAAGTCATCCATAAACACTTCAATGTAATTTTCAAGAAAATCACTAAAAATACTAAGCATGCACTGCTAGAATGTGCTAGGGGCATTACATAGGCCAAAAGGCATCCTCCTATAGGCAAAAGTACCAAAGGGGCAGGTGAATGTGGTTTTTTCCTGATCCTCAGGAGCAATATGAATCTGAAAATAACTAGAGAAACCATCAAGAAAATAGTAATGAGATTTACCCGCTAGACGCTCAAGCATCTGATCAATGAAGGGTAGAGGAAAGTGATCCTTCCGTGTTGCTTGGTTGAGCCTCCGGTAGTCAATACAGACTCTCCAACTATTTTTCACTCTAGTGGATATGAGCTCATGTCTTCTTGGGGACCACCTGTACTAGACTCACCCACTGATTATCTGAAATAGGATAGATGATCCCAGCCTGTAGAAGCTTGGTCACCTCTTTCTTTACAACATCCAAAATCACCAGGTTAAGTCTCCTCTAAGGCTGTCTCACTAGTTTAGCTCCATCCTCCAATAGTATCCTATGCATGCACGTGGATGGGCTAATGCTAGGAATGTCTGCCAGGGTCCAACCAATTGCCTTCTTGTGCTTCCGAAGCACATGTAACAACCTATCCTCTTGATCAGCATCAAGGGAGGTGGATATGATCACAGGAAATCTCTCATCATCCTCCAAGTAAGCATACTAGAGGTTCTCTGGAAGAGGCTTCAACTATGGTGTCGGTGTTGACTGAACATCAGAAAGAACCAAAGAAGTGAGAAGGGGTTTCATAGCCTGTACCTCAACCTGCAAGTCAAATTCTTTTGTACTTCCTGCAACATGGTTAATGCATTCCGACTCTATAAAATCAAGACCAAGAGGTACAACACCCAAAGTATCAAATTCATATGCATCATCACAATCAAGATCACTTCCAAATTCGGATTCAGAATCAATGCATGAAATAAAATTATACAATTCAGATAAAAATGAATGTTTCTTAACATGAAAAGAATCAAAATCATGAATGTGATCATCAACTAGATCATTAATCAATTCAGCACGAAAGACAGAATGAGCTTCAGAAGGAAATTTCATGGCATCCAAAATATTAAAATGAACAACAATATCACCAAATTCCATAGGCAAGGTGCCAACATAAACATCAATCTTGGTCCAAGCTATTTTCAAAAATGGTCTACCCAAAATGATTGGGGCGGAACCATGGGAGAATCCCTCCTCCATATGAAGAACATAAAAATCTACAGGGAAAATAAGTTCACCAACCCGAACCAAGACATCTTCTACAAAACTTATGGGGTGGGAAACACTCCTATTGGCCAACTGAATGACCACACCCGTAGGTTGAAAAGGTCCAAGAGACAGAGAACTAAAGATACACAAAGGCATGACATTAATTGAAGCTCCTAAATCAAGCATGGCATCTTCAAATTTATTGTTACCAATAATGCA